ACAAGTTTTGTGATTTCAAACTTTATTGACTATTTAATTAATCTCATCAGCATCATTTCCACTCGATGATCCCAATGATGTGCTGGATTCCTCGTCGCGGCCTCGTTGTCTTCCGTTGTTCAACCAAACTTTGACCATTCTTGAATCAAGTTTATTCAGTTTTGCAAATTCTCCATTGCACATGGTAAAGGGTCTCTTGATTCCTTTCACAATGCTTCAAGCACTAATCTCTGGAGATCGCAGAATTTTGTCCGAGTAATAATTACAAAGGCAGCAAATGACTAATCAATGGATAATCAATGGCATCAATGAGTAATAAATGGCATCAACGAGTAACTAATGAATCATAGAGCAATTATGCTCCACAAAATACTCATTGATTAATATTTAGTCGTTGATGTTATTGATCATTGATGTCTGGCTTATATAACCAGCTTTATAAATTTCCAGTGACCTGAGCTACTTCACCTGGTCTTCAGTGATTGATATAAGAGGCGAAAAACAACCAATGGATTAGCAGGGAATCTTAAACAACAGTTGGAAGGTTAAACTCTTTCCGTAACCCGTCGTAATTGCCCGAAAACATCTCTTCTCACCACATTTTTCTCAATAATAAATCAATCCGCTTTCAAATCGACCACAGGAAACAAGGACAAGATTTCTTTCAGGGCCTGTTGAAATTTACGCCCAACACGATATTGGTAAAGTAATTTTGGTTTGGCGCAGAGCAAGAAGGTCCGTACACCGCAGCTGGCCAATCCTCCCCACGTTTAGTCGACGTAGTTACGTGGCCCGTGCAACGGAGATTCGCACATCGTAGAAATTTTTGAGGAAGCTTTACAAGTCGTTCAATGATCGAGGAGAAAAATAATAACTTGTGTACTCGACTAGCTTCGCGCGCCACTAACAACAGTGTAGAAATCGCGTACATTAACGATCGATGAGGAAAACCACTTCGCCCGACTGGACCTCCTTGCTGATTGGCCGGAATCAGCAGGACGGAATTCGAACACTTCTGGAACTGGTTTGGTAAGAATAAGTGCCCAAGGGGTTATGTGCTCTTGAAGTGAACTTTCGCCCGAAAATATCGCTCGCCCAAAAATATGGCACCGTCCTGACCAGCAGCCCCTGGGTGTCCGAGGATGCGATCTGATTGGCTGAGCTACTCGTGCACTATTAGCCATTAGAGTGCAGTGGCTGGCGGTCGTCTACGAAATGACGACGTTTTTTGCGTTTTCCCGAAGTTTTGGGGGAACATTTAGGTGAAAATGGATAATTAAATTCAGTAGAAGACTATAAGAAAGTCAATAACGACGTTTTGAATTGAAGACTTGAAATTATTGAAAAAATGAGTGCGCGGGCGTACACAGCTGCAAATTTCCAATGACAATCTTTGTTATAGCGTGAAGTTTAATAATACGTAGAAAAATAATT